AATATTCAAGACTTTTGTGGGAAGATGCTGAGTTCTTGTTCCAAGTCCTCATTAGAACCATACAGTACTTGTCCGCCATCATCAGCTGCTGCACACATAAACTTTAAGCTTTTATTTTCTTGCTCTTTCCTTGTATGCCATCTGTTTCTTGTATTCGTGAAAAGTATATATATATATGTGGATATAGGAGTAAAATTAGAACTAATGCTTCTTTCATATATATATATATATATGTGTGTGTGTATATAGGAGTAAAATTAGAACTAATGCTTCTTTCATATATATATATATATATATATATATTAATCCGATGTCGCATGCTATACGGTTATGTATATATAATTAATCCGATGTCGGATAATACACGGCTATGTATATTAATTGAAAAAATATAGAAATATTTGTGTGTATGTGTTATATATATAGAGAGAGAATGGGTTGCAAGAAAGGAATACGCGAGAGAGAAATACGCAGAGCGAAAGAGAGAGAGAGAGAGAGAGAAAGAAAGAAACGCAAGAAAGACGAAAACAAAAAGATTCGAAGCAGATTTGTGAGAGTTTACGAGTTGTGAGAGTGGTGATGGACTTCGCAAGGATTGGTTTCCATTTTACGCCGAGCGATGAAGAGCTGTTTCAGATTCTTGGAACGAAACTGAGAGGAGAATATGAAGGGGGCGGAGTGACTGAGGTTGATCCGTATGAGAAAGAGCCGTGGCTGGTGTTCGACAAGAATGAACCGACCACGTTTTATGTGTTTACAAGTCTGAAGAAGAAAAGCAAAACAAGAATGGAGAGAAGGGTCGGTTGCGGTACATGGAAAATGGAGAGATCCCTGGAGATTGTCGACTGGGACGAAAACGTTGTAGGGTTCAAGAAGATGCTTACGTTTGAGGAGAAGAAGAAGAACACCGAGAACGGTCGCTGGATAATGCACGAGTATTCCCTACGGGATGTGAGTATTCTCTCTTGCTTTCTTTCTTTACTTTCTGCAATCGGCTTCTTGCATGGAGAATATATATATATATATATATATACACACACTGTAATTCTTTCTTCGATCTTTTACATATATATATATGTATCGTTTCTATAATTTCTTCAGTCCGAGTTTTCCCATGCCCCGAATCGTAGGCGTAATTTTTTTTTTTTATGTTATATACATGTGATACTCTTACTTTCTTGAAGTTCTTTGATCAGCTTCTTGCATCGTATGGATATAGTTATAGTAGTTCTTTCTTCGTTGTTTGTATATATATTTATATACATATACGTATGTTTCTTTTATATAATATTTCTTGCATTGCAATCAGCTTCTTGCCATTTGCCACTGAGATTCATGAATATTCAAGACTTTTGTGGGAAGATGCTGAGTTCTTGTTCCAGGTCCTCAATAGAACCATACACTACTTGTCCGCCATCATCAGCTGCTGCACACATAAACTTCAAGATTTTATTTTCTTGCTCTAATCCTTGTATGCCATCTGTTTCTTGTATTGGTGAAAAATATATATATATATATATATATATACATGTATATAGGTGTAAAATTAGAACTAATGTTTCTTTTCTATATATATATTATATTATATGATATGAATCACTTCTATAATCTATCATCTGAAGGTTCAGATTCCATCTCTATCAGTTTCCATGCATACGTTTGCAAGTCTTTTATTACCATTTCTTGAATCTGCATGAACGATTCAAATTTTATTTGTGAATAATGTTGGGAGAAAATTTAATTTTTCTGTTATATGTACACTTTTAATGCTAATACGCCAATATTAATTTGATTACAGTAATATTAAATTTCTATATTCATTGCTTTATATTTTATATTAAAAATATTTTTTAAAAGTTTTATTTGAAATTATTATCAATTTTTTAATATATATATGTAACTTTTTTTAATTTACGCAGTCAGACGATTACGTACTCTGCAAAATTAGAAACAAAAATCTAGATAAACGACAACAATCAATAAGAATTAAATTGGTATATCATCAACAAGATAACGACAACAACGTTCGAAAAAGAAAATTGAATGTTGATGCAGAAGACCATACTCAGTATAAAATTCAGTGCATCAATTCATCATTTGTAATACCTACTACTAATGATACAAGAACAGTTGAGGAGATGGCTATTACTGCACCTTTGGCAATAGGGAACATCGATCCATTGGTCACTGCTGCACCCTTGGCGGTGGGAGACATCAATCCATTGGCTACTGCTACACCCTTGGCGCCAGAGTATAATGATGGAGAAATAGTTGAGGGGATGACCGTCGCTGCACCCTCGCAGGAGGAGGTTGAATGGAATGACAACCTCGTATTTGATATAGATAAATTGTGGGATGAGATTGAACAGAAAGACAATCTCGTAGTTGATAGAGAAGAATTGCAGGAAGAGGTTAAATGGAGTGACAATCTCGTAGCTGATAGAGATAAATTGCAGGAGGAGATTGAATGGAGCGACAACTTCGTAGAAGAATTATTAGGGAACTGTGATGAATAGTTATTATTAGTTAAAAATTAGACTACAGTCCTCTATGTAAAAATTTCGATGTAAAAACTTTAGACTGAATGGTTTCAGTGTAAAAAATTTTGATTTTTTTAATATTATTGTTGTTATTTCTATCTTTCTATTTTTTTTTACTTATTTAAAATTAATTAAATGATTTATTACATCATACATACCT